TTGGGATGACTGAACTGCAAATGAGAAAGGCTCGGTGTCACCTTCTGGATTCTCTCCAGATGGAGGCTGTGGACATAGGGCTGGTGTCTGAAAGCTCCGTCACACTTGTTTCCCCGCAAACATTTCACCCCTTGCAGTTGGGGTTGTGGGCTATGCTAGGACCAATTGCATTTATGGGGATGGGTTGGGATATCCCGTTGCTTAGCTCTCCCTCAGCAACAATTGCCATCAAGCCCTTTTCAGGGTCTATATCCCCAGTGTCAGTGGGGAATGACCCTCCTTCACCAGCCGTGTGAGAGACAGTCAACTGAAATCGAACTTCTGAGGCTTTTCACACTTGTGAACATGTGTTCAGCAATGAAACTGTTTCCTTGTGGCAAGAGGTAAATATCCAGACACTTTGTCGAAGTCCATTGTGTTAATGTGGTCACATTCTCTCCTGTGAGGCTAAGGATCTAAGCAAGTCTCCGGAACATTCTCCCAGACTTTTAAAGCCTCCACAGTTAACAACAAACACCCACTTTCCTGATCTTCTTCACTTTTTCAATTTGAGCAATTATGTCCTTTCTATAATAAATGTTAAGAATAGCCTATAATTGAAACTTCAGAAGGCTACAGGAAAATTGTTCCTATGCCCACAGGAAAGTGCCTGCATGTATCTAAGCCTGTAGTGTTTAAAGCCTTTGTAGGAATCAGTTGTTAGGAATTTGTAGGAATTAATTTGTTAGGGATTAACTGGGGGAGAGTGAGGAAGGGCGTTGGGTTGGAGTTTCCCCTGCAAACCTGGCCTGATGTCCCAGACATCATCCTCCAAAAGGCCACACTCCCTTCACTCGTACATGAATGTACAAAATGAAGATTGCTTAGGTTTCTTGGTTTTGATGTGGTTTAGCCTTTGGAAAAAGCCTGTCATCCAAGAGTAGGTTCCTTAGCTGGGCCAGCCTGGCATCCAGAGGTGGCATTTTGAACCAGGTGACCTTTTTGTTAAGGACCTTTTGCTACTCGATCTTCTGAGGTTTTGCTGAACCCTCACTTTTGTTCATCCAAATGGATATAATTTCCACTTAGTTCACTGACTAAATCAACAATGGAAAAACCTCCTTTTAACATTTCTCGGGTGAACACAGGACAAACCCCACGTTAGGCCATGGCAGGGTGTCACACGGTGGCGAAGAAGGCAGCAACGAGGCCTTCCTCGTAAGGAAGCTTCAGCCAAATGGGAGACGCAGATGGGATTGGGCAATATGCAAATATCTGTGTCACATATTTGGGCAGGGAGTTTCGCATGTCAACTTGTCCGAATTCTGGAGCAGAATCCCCCTGGGAGGTCATCTGTGTGGCTTTGGACAAATTGTTTTTGATCTCTGGTACTAAGTGGGCTTCCCCGCAAATGGGGATGATCATTGTCCCTGGCTCGTAAAGGTGTGTAGGGGTGAGAATGTGATGCTTAGAAAGCTTTCTGTGTGGTGCCTGAATGAACCAGTGTAAGTGAGCTCCTGCTGAATGCCAGCCATTGCTACCACATGAATGGTCCCCATTTGCAACAACTCACTGGAAAAGCAGGACCGTTTGGAGGACAGAGTCCTTCGAGTTGAGTTCTCTGTTCTATTCTCTCACATCATTTTGGTGCAAGTTGGCATGTTAGTTGATTAGCACTTATTCCACAACTTTATACAAATGTCACAGTGGAGGACAAGGACGATTTGTTGGATGTGGCCGTGCTAACAGGGAAGGGGGAGGCCTGGGAGCCCCGTTCCTGTCCGAGCTGCATTGTCCTATGAACCAATAAAACACGTGGCACCTTTGTCAGCTTAGAAGATTGTTCTCGGGAGGTGCGGAAACTCACAGCCTCGGGGAACAGCTTGCTGCTCTTCGTCTTCAAAATCGGAGACTGGGGTTGTTTCGGAGAAATGCGTGTGTGTGTGGAGATCACCTCCAAGCACGGTGCCGCACTTCTCCAGCGGAATGGTCACAACCTCTCTTCCGGGAGTGTTACTGGGGGGTGGGGGAGACAGGCAGAGTATGGGGCAGGCATTTAGTCCACTCGTGACAGGTGTGCTCACTCCAAGGCCCTGGGATAGATTATCCCACCGTATTCACGGAGCCACGCATGGGTGGCTGGTTTTGCATTTGGGAAGTGTTTGTTTTGTCTCACAGACCCCAAGTGAGTAACGGGGAAAGCCTGGAGGATGTAAAAAGGCGCCTGCCTGCCTCTTCTCTCTGCTCTGCCTGTGCACTTCAGGTCACCCCTCTGTCCCGGGAACTGAGCACAGTGTTCACTGCCCTCGTCCCAAAGGACCCTTGGGGCTCCAAGCCCAGTCTAAGTTCCCTAACATGCTCCCTTACCCATCTTTACTTTTTGCAAGACACGGCTTCATTCAACGTATTCTGTGCGATCTCCTGATATCTGTATGTCTGTAATAAAGCAATCTTAGAACATCTACCCTCAGAATCATTGAATATATATAGATATTCTGTGACAGTGTCTATTTTTATACTTCTAGTTAAATCTACTTTAAGACAGGAATCTATTCTTTCTTTTAAATCAGCATGCATTTTAAAATAGAGAAACTTGAAAACTAAACACTAATTGTGTAATATGTGTCCTTATTAAAACATAAGTTATATTAGAGTACTAAGCAATGCATTACAAATATCAATATGTGGGTGGCTTTTCCTTTACTATGTATTGTCTATTAGAAACCTCTGTACCTATTCCTTTAAAAAGAGTCAATATTCATTTTGATTCCGTGCTGACAACTACAAATTGATGGCTCGCAGTTATCAAATAAATGTTGATGAAAAGCGGCTACTTAAACATTTTCAGCCCTACAAAAGGTTGGGAAAGGATGTATAATTTAGGTCTCAGGGCCTCAACTATAAATAAACAGCAACTGCTTTCTAAATCCACCTTCCCGTAGTTGGAAATTGTGCTGCAAATCTGACAAATGATTTCTGAAAGAGAATGATGAACCTTTATTACCAAGATACTCTTAACTTAATCCCAAACAAGAATCCTGGGTAATTTTACATACACTATAAAGATTGATGGCACCGTTCTCTGGCAGCTCACAAATGTTTGATTAGATCAGGCATGGCATTCGGGCGTGATTAAGGATTCCAGCAGGCTTCCCAGAAATCCTCAGGCCTGTGGCATCCGTACCCTAACTCACTGCCAATTCCACAGGATGGAGCCGCTGCGCCCAGTGCTCCGATTAGCAGCTGCAGGAGCCCTACAGGCTTCTGAGAAATTGTTCTTAAAAAATCGCTCAGGGGGACCCACAGCCCCAGCTAGTGTTTAGGTGCCAAGGTGTTGCTATTATCACAATGGATCTGTAAACAGTGGTGACAACTCGCTAGATGTGACCTCAGGTATTTTATAATGGGGTTGGGAATACTCTTTCCCTCATATGACTCTTTGATCTTTTCTGACTTATGTACTGATGCCCCTCAAAGTGGGGTGAAAGTCGCCTGATGGTGATGAAAGTGCGCTTTTAAACTTGTTTTTATCAGTTGGAAGGTGTTTTATCTTGTATCAGCAGGACCGGCTTATTTACTAATGAGATTTCCCTAATGTGTCTCAGTCTCATTCTGATGATAGACAGGCCAAAAAGCTGATGAGCCAAAAATCAGAACTTGTTATTAAACTGTCGTCACATCTGCTCATATAAAGATGTCACTCAGAGGCTGCCATTGGTACAGCTGAAAAGGGAATTCCCTGAGAAGCCAGAAGGGTAGTGGGCTTGGGTCTCAAAGATCTTGTCATTACTTAACTATCCAGCAAGAAAGCAAATCAAGTACCAGTTGAATTGAGCGTGAATCAGAGAGGGAGCCTTTGCCAGATGTGCTCGGTTGATCTTCGAGCGGAGAAGGTGGTCTGTGCTTTCAGGGGCCCCTGCCGTCCTGTGTTCTTCCACAAAGCCAGAGCCGCCTGTGATGGGACTGACATGCTGGATCACCCCAAGCCTAGTGGCAAAAGAACCAGAGGCAGCTCTTGATGAACGATCGGGGTTTTCTAAAATGTATGGTTTTCATCCATGATAGCCAAAGGTAGGTTAGTACAAAATGAGGCCAACGGCAATTGCCTTCAGATTCCATGGAGGGAAAATGCATGCCCCCAGCTCCCTCATCAATGCGATTCTGAATCACGTAAGTGCAGAATTTCTTTGCGAAAATACCATTCCAACAATGCAAGAGCGCGATATGATATCATTTTAGAAGGTCACAGTGGCAAAATATTACATTGGGTTTGGAAGAATTCCGCTTTCTGCTTTCCCAAGTGGCCTACTTTAATCTTTTCTCAGGATTGGTGGAACTGTGAAAGGCCAGTTTGTCGTGCTGTGTAAATGCCGGTATTAGAAAGATTCTCGAGTGGGGGCGGGGAGCCGGGTGTGGAGATGAGCTGGATTCTCTCACCCCTTAGAGTGGATGGTAAATCACCTGACCACTCTTTGGTGGTTTTGGCAGCTGCAAAGTAAAATGGAAATCTAAGAGAGATATCCAGAAAATTAGGCAAAACACTATCTCCACCTGAACTCTGTTAGGGAGCAAAGCCAAAATGATATTTGGCTTGAGTTAGCGGGACAAGCATCTCAATTCTCAGTTTGTCTTTAGAGGCGCTTTGCTTCCCTTTTTTCCACACATGAGATGCAAGGGGTCACAGAAGCCTCTTGAAAATTCTTTAGAGAAATGTACCAGGTGCTAAACAAAGTGTTATTAGGAATAATAATTTAGTGAAAGAAAATCTGGATGACATGAACTTATTTCCATTAGACTTGAGCCACACTAATCAATTTTAAAAGAAAGAGCTGAATCCAGAAACAGAACCGGCTTTTTGGGGAGTGGGCACAGCCAGGGGGCTGGGGAAAGAACAAACCAGTTACTCTCTAAGTTCAAGTGATGTCAGGTGTTCACGTTCTGCACTAACAGGACTTACCCAGTACAGTCAAGCACCAGTTCTGGTCAGAACTCCATGCCTCGCCCCCCCCACACGGTGCCCCTCCCCACAGAGATGTCCCTTAAGTACAGTTGGCCATTTGGTTTTCACACTAACTCAAATGCAGCAACAGCCCCTTACATTGACGCGCTCCCCAAACAAAGAAACAAAACCCAAGTCTGCTTTGTAGCACTCTCCTGAAATTATGACATCTTGAGTCCCCGGTCCCAGGAAGACCTTGACTCCCAAAGGTTCTACATTGCAGTCCCAGTGAATGCAAACCAAACCACTTGTGGGGCATGATTTTCCATTAAGCACTCTGCTCGGGCACAATGTAAACCCTGTAGGGGGCAGAAAAATGGTAAGCTTTGGGTGGGGACAGACACACATTTCCCCCTCAATCGAATGTCCTTAATGTTTTTCTAATGGTGACCTTAGCCCTAGTTACCTTTCTCCATCCTCTTGTGCAACCTTCCTCCCTATCAGCCTATAATTAGTTGATGCAACAGGGCTGTGATGCACATAAATAATCATAAGATGCCAGATAAACTGTATTGGTTTTAAATTAGAGCCGTGCCTACCGTGTCTCCCTACGAACACCAGCCTATTATTTTTAATTATGGCTTGCAAAGCAAAGTGATTTCTTGCCCCCTTTACAGCATGCCTGACAGTATTCTGTCAGCTCGAATGATGTGGGGCCTCCTTGGCGCACACACCCCTAGCCACAGTGCCAACCGTTATTCAAAAGGTGAACTGAAAGTGATCAATTGCCCTCATTGCAACTTGCGTGTTGAAGTGGGCGGGGAGATGTACTTTCTAAGCCACTGCCCCATTGCAAATATGGGATGAATATGACAGAAAAAGGTTTTCATAGGATCTGGATGAATTAATAAATGTGTCAGGTGTCTGCATAAGGCATGTATGTAGAGTGGGGAATATGCTCATATGTGTATGTGTATATGTGTGGGTAGAAACATGGGTATATGGGTTTTAAACATTTCAACGTAGCATTGCAAACCCTCCCCCTCAACATAGCACCTTGGGCAAAGCCTAAAGGAACGATGTGGCACAAGCCCCACTCGCGTTTTCTACCTGATGGGCTGTTATTAGAGTAGTTGGTTTAATTCAGACAGAAGGTTCTAGAAACATCTTGGTGTCAAAATACATTATGCACGGAGAACTCAAGGAATTGGATGAATTCCTTCTTGCCATCTTTTCCTCTTTGCTAGGAAGAGTTGTCTGATATGATTGATGTATTTATTTTTTAAGCCTTTTCCTGTGCGAGGTGTAAAGAGTCACACCAGCTTGAGGAGCGGGGTTTACGAACTCGTTTTTCCAGGATGCGCAATCCTCCCTTTTACAGTCTGTGCACACCGGCCAGTCCCCTTTGCCATGATGCTGAGAGCGCCCCTTGCACCCGGGCCGGGTGGGGAGAGGCCTGCTAATTCCTAGTCAGAGGAAAGTCATCCCATCACCTCTTTTCTTAAAAAAAATAAACAAACAACTTTTTCTTTTTTTGTCTCTTCCCTTTGATTTCTAGCAACAAGGAGCTGCCACCACTGTCTACTGCGCCGCTGCTCCTGAACTGGAGGGCCTGGGAGGGATGTATTTCAACAACTGCTGCCGCTGCCTGCCCTCCGCGGAAGCCCAGAGTGAGGAGACCGCCCGGGCCCTGTGGGCGCTCAGCGAGAGGCTGATCCAAGAAGCGCTCGGCGAAGGCCAGGCCAGCTAAGAGGGAGCCCCACAGACCTGGGCACGCACACCACCCGCTGTGTGCGTGCGTGTGCGCCACTGCCAACGCGAGACCCCTTCCAACTTACCACCCTGGGTGCCTTTCCATGTCCCTCCCACACAGGTCCACCAGGGTAAAGGGAGTAAGAGTAGTCAAAGCAGATGGAAAAATGTTAAGTACCAATCGGAAGCAGGGAATTGATTCCAGGGGTAATTCTGGGGCTGGCTTACGCTTGGGTTCCTTTGCTTTCCTGGTGATGGCCTGTTTGAAAGGGAATGCTCAGTTGTTATGTGGGGTCCTTCCTTGTTGTCTCCTTGCAGAAGCCCAAGCAATTCTGTTTCACTGTCTAGAATAGCCTGGTGCCCCCTGTCCTACCCAGCCACCCCAACAGCCACACTGCAGCCAGGAGCTTTCTCCTGTTTAGGGAAGAAAAGTGAGGGTTTAACCTTCTTTGCTGCATTGATCCCGGAGCTCATTGTTTCCTTCATTCAGACCAAGTCTCAGTGGGCTTGGCAGCTCCCGGAGAGAGACCGCCGAACTTCGTCCTGGTCAGCAAAGATGGAGGTGACACTGTGACACTGAGAAATCGGTGGAATACACAGATGAAGGTCCTAGTCCTTTGACTCCCTTGCCAAACTATACAAAAAATTCTTTAGAGATTACAGCAAACAAATTTTGCCAAGCACCCCCTCAGTGCCTTGACCGGCAGGAGAGGAAAGCAGCACTGTGTCCATAAGAACTGACAGGGTCATTTGGGGGCAGGGGTGAAACGTCAGTCCCTTCATGCTTCATTCAGAGCTTCACCTAGCAGCCCGGACGCTGGAGGGCCGCAGCCCCCAGCGCACCTGCTTGAGCGTTCTGCATACCATTCCTGTTACCCCTCCCATCCTATGCTTAATAAAAGAACATGCTCGAATAGTATCACCTGAAGTTTGTCATTGTCCTTTCAAAGTTTCAGTTTCAGTTTTGGGGTGGTTTTTTGTTGTTGCTGTTTTTGTTTTGTGTTGTTTTTTTTTTGTTTTTTTTTTTAGAAAAGAAATCTGGAGGAAAAATAAAGCGCTTCTTGTTGACGCCAGGAAAACACCATTCTTGCTTCTTCTCTGAGTTTTGTTTTTGTGCTTTGTGGCTGTCTGTGGGCCAGGTTGTCTCACGCAATTAGCATGCCAGCATCATATTTTCTGTTAAAGGAAAAAAGAAAAGAAACATGACTATTGTTTAACTTCACCTAAAGAGGTTTTGTTATTACTTACAGCGGGTTCTCTTGGTCCTCGACGGCCTGTCTCCCTGTAATTACTAAGCTCTTGGTGATTAGAGAATATCTCTACGTATTATAAGGTGGGCAGTTTGGAGGTTTTTTCCCACTCATTCCTTTTTTACTGACACCTTGTTTTCTAGGCCATTCCAGGGATGTGAAAAGGTCCTATTGGACAAGATAAAAAGAATGCTTTTGCTAAAACACCAGGACTGTTGGGACAGGGTATGCGTGTCGCTGTTTCTCCTCCTGATAATGGCAGCTCAGGCCTCACCGCACCATGAACCTCTGGGCCCCTAGCTCTGTGGGGCGGTCCAGCCAAACACCATGACTTTCCAGTGGCCCACAGCCTGGCGACATCTTCCCATCTGGCTATATTTTCCCTCACAAAGCCCCTATCATATCGCCTTTTATATCATGAATCAGTTCATGTCACTTTTCTGGTAAAAACCCTCCAGTGCTTTTGAGATAAACTCTTTGCAAAAATGACCATCATAATTCTCCTCCCAGTCTCCTCACTGTGACTGATCATCTTCCACACTAATGCTAGCCTTGACCATATGACCTGCTCTGGCCAATTGAAAAAGCACTGTGCCTTGGGGATTGCCCTTTCATGGAACCCAGTAACCACCACTAGACTGCTGGATGACAAGAGACACCTGGCCGCCACCCTCACTGACATCGAGCTATTAGACCTGCGAGCGAGGGCATCCCATCTATTCAGCCCCAGCGGGACCAGCCCAGGAGAGGAGAAACCTCAATTGGCCTACAGAATGGCAAAAAATAAAAGTTTATTATGGGAAGCCACAAAGTTTCGGGATTACTTGTTACATAGCAAATGCTAACTGATACAACATCTCATCACACTGGTGAAGTCCAAACTTTTTACCATGGCGTAGCTTTTCTTTCATAACCTGGTCCTTACCTTGCTATCTGATCTCATATTCTAGCACTTTCTCTTCATCTGCTACATGTAGCCCCTCCAGACCCTTGGTGGTATTGAAATATGCCAGGTCCCTGCTTAGGCAAGGACGTTATACCTGCTGTTTCCTCTGCTGAAATGCCTTTCTTCCAGACACTTTCATGTCTTCCTCTCATACTGTATTCTGGTCTCTGCTCAAATTTCTGAGAAAGTGACCGCCTTCATGGTGGCGCCCCAAGTGCCCTTATCCTTTATTTTTCTCCATAAAACTTAATATTGTTGGGCACATCACGTGTCTACCTCAACATTTGCTCTTTTCTCCCTCTACCTCCTATAATATAAACGCCACTAGCTAGATTTGTCTATTTTGTTCACAGCGGTGGCCACAGTGCCTTAAACTGCTTCTATCATTTAGAAGGTGCTTAATAAATAACCACGGAAGGAAAGAATGATTCTTGGTGACCTGGCATTATGTTCATGAAAAGAATTCGCATCATCATGGGGCTGATTATGAGCCACACTCTGTCCTAAGCAGGCTGCAATATTACATCTGATTTCTAATGTGACCATGACCCTACCAGGTGGCCCCCTAACTTCCTCTCTTATGGGTAAAGAAACAGAGGCCAAGACATTCTACAATTTGCCCTTGTCCATACTGCTCATCAGCAGCAGAGCTGTGATTCACACTTGGGTTGGTGTGACCTCAAAGTCATGCCTCCCCCCTGGCACCAGTGCCACCACTCCTTGAATCAGTTAGACATGTCCTTTCCGAAGAGATGCATCATCTTGAGGTCGCAGGCAGAGCAGAGAAGCGACTTTATGGGTCTGACGCCAGCTAAGCTTCAGGCATTTGGTGAGGGTGAAAGTTAAGCCATGGCAAAGAAGATGGAGTATCACCAGCCAAGGTGATATCCAAAACATCAGAGAGACTCAAGGAAGAACCTGCAGGCTGCCTGCCTCCGCGTACTGTTCCGGTGTGTGCCGGCTGATCCCCATGTGGGTCCTGCACCAGGCAGGTGCCATGGGGTTTGGAAGGAACTTGACTAGGGGAGGTGAGTAGTGCCCTAAACCAAGAAGCTCCCTAAGTGAGATTATGCCTCCAGACAAGCAGTCATTCAACCAACATGTGCTGAGTACTAAGTGGTGGAAATTCAAAGTTTAGGGAAACGTCTCCCACAGTTCCTACTACAAAGGAATTTATATCTCCTATCTGTAGGAGCCTTCACAGTGCACAAGGTCCTGATCAACTTTATCAAAAGTCCTCCAGGGTACTTGAAGTAAATCAAGGCCTCAGAAAAACACCCAGGTCTCTTGTCTGCTATGCCCTGAACCCACTCAGTCAGACATGCCAGTCCTTGTGAGCCATTTCTCTTGACAGACACATTAATCGTACTAATTTCATGGGGATTCCTGGACAGGTGAGCAAGTAAGTGGCATACAGGCTCTCTCCTTTTTTAGCTTACTCTAAGCTCAAGGTTATTGTCCCCCAATCTGTCATGATATGTGTGTGTATATAGAGAGAGATATATATGTAATATATATGCAATATATACTTGAATTATATAATAATGATCCCACTCTACCATCGTCGCTACTACTAATTGCACATACTATTTACTGAGCATCTACTATGTGCCAGTTGCTGGACAAGGCAAATCATATCCATCGCATTTTATCCTTGCGTGCTGAAACTGCAGTTTACGAAGCAAGCTATCGCCAGCCCCATAGCTGTGGTAAGTAATGGAATCAGTATTTGAATCCAGATCATGTCCTTCAAGCCCACGTGCCTTCCACTGCTTCACCCCGTTCAATGGGTGGCCTATAGACCGGGAGGATATGCACATTAAATTTATGCAGTAGGTGAACTGATCACAAAGGAAGACTATTTGGCTTCCTCCCTAAGCCTGGGAGCTGGCTCTCATCCTGGCGCCCAGTGCCTGGTATGAACTTTACAAACTATTTCTGTATGTGCCATTTGTCTAGCGATATGGCTTCAGCTCCATAGACTGCCCTGGCTGTGATGAGGTCTGCAGACAGCCTTGTTTCCCTGGCGTTGGCTTCCAATGGACTCATGTCCAAGACCTCGGCCATTGTCCACTGCCACAGAGCCACCCAGCTAGGAAGAGTGAGCCAGCTTCCCTACAGCCTTTTGCTTTCAAGTTGCTCTCTCTCTCCCTAAGTTTGTTTAAACCCAAAAAGCTGCCAGTTGCCACTTTCACGGCTGATGAAGGGAGGGCTTCCTGCAACTTATCAATAGGAAATAAGAAATTGAAGCATCCCCGGCAATGACTGAAGCTGTGGCTTGTGGTTTTGCTCTTTAAAATGGGGTTATGGGTGGTTTTGTTTTGAACTTCAATGTAGGAGGCCTGATTGCTTTGGTGAAGGTCAGCATCAGGCCAGGAAGCCTTGCCTTGCAAAATGGCTGCCGGTCCTGGGCAGGAGCCAGTACCAATTTTAGAACTTTACACTTAAAAAAGCATCTAAAGTAGCAATGCTTGCCTCATGCATGAACTCCTGGTGCCTTTCACCAGTGTACCAAACTAGTTAGAATTTTTGTAACACTGAGTAATATAACAACATATCACTCACACGATCACTGGACAAACTGCTCTGAATTATGTTTATTGATGAGATGATGTACTATTGATAGAGGCAATTTTTTTTTAAAGAAAAAGGCTCTACTTTTCTAACAGATACTTTCATATTTGTTATTACCTTTCAAGTCTTCATACTATTTGGTTTCATTCTCCCCTTATACCTACCCCCCTCCACACATATGGCTCCACACCTACCCCCCTCCAGCCCAAGGTATCTTATTTGTCAGTTTCCACAGTTATTTTAATGGATGTGTAATAGATCTTCTTACTAGTGGGTCCCTATTTGGAAACTCCTGTTATGGGACCTTTAGGTTATTTCTAGTTTTTGCCGTGAGAAATAATGGCTAGTATCTTTATGTATGCAGCTTTTTTCTTTCATTAATTTACCTCCTCAGTATGCGCTCGCGGAGCTGAAACTATCGGGCATCGCTGCATGCTGCCATGTGTGGTCTGGAAGGGCTCCAACCAGCAGAACACACACATTTCTGTTTTCTTACCACCTTACCGGTGTTGGGTGGTACTAGTTAATTTTTTTACATATTTTAACTTCATATTGTCACAATCTGTAACTATTTATACAAAATGTCACCAAGCAGCCAGTCTCTAAAGCAAAAGCATTTTGTCTTTCATTTTCCCACTGGACCAAGTTCACAATTTTAATTCAAGTGGCACTGCTGGGTGAGTCTGCATTTGATTTAGGTAGGAAAAAAAAAATCAGTTCAGCCAAGATACTACATGTTTACCACATTATTCAATCTGGGGATGTCCTGCCTTTTGTTCCTTGTCAATCACCAATTGTAACGGGACATGGGCCCCCTCTGAAAGCCTTGCCAAGACCAGGACCAACGCCGAGCCTCTTCGGTTCGTTCTGGCTTACGCCCCTAGCCCACTGGCAGCAGTACTGTCTGCTTTTATGCACGGTGCTGCACCACTCAGAAAGATTGTCTCGTGTCTAAGCTGATCTGTTTCCAAGGCCCTGCCCTGCTGCGTCTTAGGTGTGAGAGAATAAAAGCTTCTTTTAATTTTCCAAGTAGGGATATGCAAATAGAGGCTCTCCTTCACACCTTCAGATTAAAGAGGCTCCCTGTCTGCCTCCGGCTGTCCTGATTGTCTGCCGTGCTCCCGAGGAGCCTGTCCTTTTACTTTGGAATCATGACAGTTTCTCTCGCTTGATGCTGGGCACCCAGATGAGGAAACTCACTGTCCTCAAGTGTGACGTCCCGAGTGTGAAGACACTGAACGGAAATGCTGGTTTTGTTCCTTTACCTCTCAGGACTTTGTATTTAAATAGTACTGTCCTCTTTTCACAGACAAGGAAAACATTTGAATCCTGGGGCCACCACTTCCTTTCTGAGGTTGTCCCAGCAATTCCACCTCTCTGGGTGTGTGGGTCTGCAAACCACTCCG